AATCCCCTTGCGTCTGCCGGGCAGGGCGCAGCGTCCCCCCCACCGCTGGCACTAACCCCCCCCCCGGTTCTGTCCCATCCAGGCCCAGCTGGTGGTTCTGTGCCTTCCCATACAGCTTCCTCATCTTCGTGTACGACGAGATCCGGAAACTCATCCTGCGCCGGAACCCCGGAGGTGGGGGCGACTTGGGGGGTTGATGGGGGGAGGTAGAAGGGGGCTGGAGGGATATGAAGGAGACGGGGGAGGGGTAAGGACGATGGGGGAGGGTGGGGCGATATGTGGAGGGAGGTGCCAAACGGGGTGTCCTTGCCTAGCAGTAACCCCCCCTCTCTGTCACAGGCTGGGTCGAGAAGGAAACCTACTACTGAGCCCCCCCCCGCCCCCCGCGCCGGAGACCACGAGGCTGGTGGGACGTCGGCTCGGAGGAAAGTGACTCGTCCCCCCACCGTGGCTGAGAACATGAAACTGTCCCTGCCCCCCCCCGCCTGGGGGGGGGTTAGTTTATTGTGTCACCAACATCCCCCCACCGCTGGGACCGAACCCAGGATCCCCAGAGCTAAGGGGGGGCTGGGAGCAGTTGGGGGGGCTCTTGTCCAGTGTGGGGGAGACAGTCACGGGAGATACAGACCCCCCCTGGTCACACAGGTCTCCTGTCTTCTCCCCCCAGGGCATGTGTGTGTCCCCACCCCGCACATAGATTCCCCATCTTCCTCCCCCCCCCCACTCACCCCCTTCTCCATTCCCAGTGGGGCATGGGGGGCAGAAGCCAGCCCTCAGCCCCAGACTGGGGGGGGCATACTGGGGGGGGGGTCAGCAGAGCACCAGGGAGGGGTTGTGGAACAGAATCCAGGAGTCCTAATCCCCCCCCGCATGCCTTTACCAAGCCAATAGCTTCCCCCTGACAGTCTTGGGTGCCCCCCCTTGCCCTCCTGCCCCCCCCCCCGACCCCAGGGCCCTGTCTGAGGGGTTGGGGGATCCTGCGGCTGCCCTTTGACCCCAGATTCCAGGTTATGGACCAAGGGAAACCAGGGCCTCATCCGTGTGTGTGTGGGGGGTCCCTATGGCTGGGGGGAGGCAGAGGGGTCTGTCCCTCCCATCCCCAGTGTCCATGGGGAGGGGGGTGTTGTGCTCGCTCCCCCTCCCCCGTCCTGTGTGTGCTGGGGGGGAGCCTTACCCCCCCCCACCCCCGTTTGGGGATCGTGTCGTCATGTGACAAAAACAAACTCAATTTAACAAATAAAACCAAACCCACCCCCGGACCCTGTACCGCGCGTTGTGACGGGGGGGGGAGGCAGGGCTGAGGGCGGGGGGTCCCAGCGGGGAGGGGGCGGGGACCAGGCCGAAGGGCCGGTGGAACTCCCTGCCACTGGACATGGTGGAGCCGGCGCTGGCCCCTGGGAACCAGGGAGCGGGAGGCTGGAGCTGGCCAGGCCAGGCCAAAAGCCAGAGCTGGGGTGGGTGTGTGTGTGTGTGTGTGTGTGTGTGTGTGTGTGAGTCACTGCATGATTCCCCGCCCCCCGGCGTCCCCCCCCAGTGACGCAGCGCCACTGTCAGGGTTTGGCTCTGATTGGTGCCCGGGGGGGTGAAAGGGGGGCCATTGTTATGGCAACCAGCGGATGGCTGTTGCCATGGTGACAGAGGATGACTGTTGCTGACGTTGTTGGGCAGGGCCTGGAGGAGCCTGAGAATGAGGCTGCAGCGTCCCCACCCCCAGCGCTGGGATCGAACCCAGGCGTCCTGGCTCCCAGCCCCCCACCCCACTGACCGGGCGGGGGGGTGAGGAGCTTTAACTCAGCCCGTCGCTGGGGGCTGCTCTGGGGGCCACGGCTCAGACCAGTGGAGCTGGGGGGGGTGTCCATGCCCCCCAAGGGGCCGGAGCCAGCACCCCCCAAATCCTCCCGGGGGGGCGTGAGTGGGGGCCTGGGGGCTCCCTGCAGAGCTCGGGGCTGCTGGGGGCCCACCGAGCCCCCAGGTCCCCCTGCCCCCTCGCTGGGGGTCGCGCTCTGGCGCCCACGCATGGGGATCGGGAGGCGCCCGGCCCTGGGCCAGTCGAGGGGGGCGCGGGATTCAAGGCCCCGTCCCGACGGGGCAGCACGAGGCTCGGTCCCAGGCTCTCCCCAGGGTCTGGCCCCGGGAACGGTGCGTGGTGTGGGGAGCCCGGCCAGGGGCTGCGTCACGTTGTGGGTCTGACCCAAACTGAACCCCACCCCGTCAGCGCTGGGGGCTCTGGCTCCTGCCTGGCTGGGTGCCCCCTGGCAGAGTGAGAGGTGCCGGGACCCCCTGGCACACAGTGGGGGGCAGCAGCTGGAAGGAGGGGGCTGGGCTGGGCTGGGGACAAGGAGCAGCCGGACCCATGGGGACGGGACAGACCCAACTGGCCGGGGCTGAGACTGGCCAGGCCCGAGGGCCCTGAGAACTGCCTGGGCTGGGTCCAGACGCTCAATACATCTCCTGTGTGACGCTGGCAGAGTCCCTGCAGGCTGGAGGTCTGGGGGCGGGGGGGGAATTGCTCTCTCTGGGGGTGGGGGCCCCAGAGCTAGGGGACTCCCCGAGGGGCCCACGGCAGAGCCAGGCTGCTGGGGGCTCGGGGGCGGTCCCAGGGGTGGGGGGTCCTGTGGGGCAGAGGAGCCACGGGGGGCAGAGCCAGGCTGCTGGGGGTTCAGGGGGGCGGTCCCGGGAGGTGGGGGGGCCCAGGGCTTAGCCCCCGAGAGAGCAAGTGGACCCCCGGGAAGGGTCATCGCACTGGGGGGTCCCTCCCCGGGCTGTTGAGCCCAGAGCGCCCAGGAGAACCCCCCCCGGCCCATGTGGGGAGACCGGCCCCTTCACTCGGGAGCACCTGGCGTTTTGCTGCTCGGGGGCCAGTCCAGACTCACTGCGAATCCCTCGCCCGGGGTCCCCGCCGCGATCCGCGTTTTCCGCGTGCCCACCGGGCCGGCTCAGGGCTGGGAAGCTGCGTCGGGGATCCCCAGGCTGGGGCACGTTCACTTCCCTGGGACGGACTTTCTGGGGGCTGGCGCGGAGCAGGGGGGCGCTCGGCAGCACCCCAGGCGGAGTCTGAGGTCTATATTGGGGGGCCAAGTCCGGGCCTGGCCTGACAGCGGCGCCATTTCATGCGGGGGGGGGGGGGCAGCACTTTAACCGCGATTCCGGCGGTTGCTCAGGCACCGGGAACTCTTGGGGTTTGGCAGCAAACTGGGCCGAGCCGGTTTGAATTCCGGTCTGAGCAGAGAGTGACTGAGCCCTGAGCCGCGCCCGGCTCCCGTCCGGACAGGTTCTGCCAGTGACAGCGCGTCACTCGGGGACACTGGGTCGGGTGATAACTGTACCCTCGAGTCCTTCTCAGAGATGCCCCTGAGGTCAGACGGGCCCAGCGTGATCGTCTCGTCTGACCCCCGGCACCGCGCAGGGCCTAGAACCTCCCCCCCGTCCGGTACCGGACCCCGACTGAGTCACCGACGGCCCCAGATCGCGGGTTCCAGACGCGTGACAGAGACTCCACCATGGACACGAGTTCAAACCCGCCAGTGACCCGGGCCCAGTGCACAGGAAGGCGACAAACCCCCAGAGTCTGACCTGGGGGGAAGTTGGTGACCAGTCAGTCCCTGAGCGTGTGGGCGAGACCCACCAGCCAGACACCGGGGGAAGAATTCGCTGGGGTAACTCAGAGCCCCCCAGCTAGCGTCCACCCCCGGCCATCGGGGAGTTCTGCTACAGGAGTCGCCGATGGGCCGCGCGCCATTGCTGGCCATCCTCTCTCTCTCTCTCTCTCTCTCTCTCACACACACACACACCCCCC